CGGGGCTTGGAGCAGCCTGGGATAGTGGAAGGTGTCCCTGCCCATGGCAGGAGGTTGGAAGGAGATGATCTTTAAGGTCTCTTCCAACCCAAACCATTCCATGATTCTGTGATTCCACAAAGGTTATGCTCCTTGCACAGCTCTTGGTCTCCAGAGCTGCTCATCCCACCCAGACACGAGTCATGGCTCCTTATTCAGCTGTTATCCCCTAAATAACTCTCCTGCTTCTGAAGGAGTATCTGACTGCAGAGCAAATTAATTAGCAATAATGGGATAAACAGATAATGAGCTGAGCCGGCCGACCTAGACCTGATTGATTTTCCTGCCTTTTTAAAAAAGAGAGGGCTACTTTTAAAAATTTATTATCATTTAATTTGTGTGCTTCAGTTTAAGCTGAACTGTTTGTAAATTAAAACCATGGAGAAGTGAAGCTTTCTCCAAAAAAGAAAAACAAAACAGAAACACTCCTCTGTGCATGACATAAAAGAGGCAAGTGAAAGTCAGCAGGAAGCAGTGCAGTGGTGATTCCTGCCTTGCAGCCATCAGGAGCTCAACAGAGAGGGATTTGCCTCTGTCTGTGAGTCTGGGAAGGAAATCCTCTTATTCCAGCCCTTGGGAGAGCTTCCCTCCTGCTGCTCAGTGCATTGTCAGCTGAGCAGCCACTGTGTTGCTCACATATATCCTGGAAAAAGCACCTGGAGAAGCACCTGGAGCTAAATCCCAATTTTCAGTGAGGATGGGATTGCATTCCCCCCTTCTGAAATACAGAATCGTGGAAGAGTTTGGGTTGAAAAGGACCTTTAAAGGTCAACTTGTTGAAGTCCCTTGCCATGATTTCACCTCAGCTGGCCAAATACTCTCCAAGCAGTGAACGCCTGCACAGAGATTATCTGTGAAATGTTTTTTTTTTTTCCTACACACCTGAGCTGCTCACTAAGATTTTAAATGTTTAAATATCCCCTCATTTTAAATATTTTGACAACAGGCAAGACAATCTGAACAGGATTCATCATGTTCTGAAAGAGCTGCCTCTCCCTGGCCAGAACACACCAGAGATACCCAAACCCAAGTGAAAATCCCCTGCCAAAAGTCATTCCCATGCCACGGCTGTTTGCCCATGTGAATCTGGTCTCTGTCTACCTGTTCCTGATTTCAATGGCAAAGAACCCACTACTGTGTTGAATCACACATTGCATTTGATGTCTTTGCCAGTTATTTCAGCATGGAAAGAACACCAGGGCAGAGCAGTGCACGGCCAGTATGTTGGGTGTCCTCTGATGGTTTACAAACTTCCTTAAGAGCCCAGACTTTGATCTTGGTGCTGTTTGGTTCTCCTCTGTACACACTGCCAGCTTCAACTGCTTTTCCCTCTGGATTTCCCTCTCACTGCATCTTCTGCAGCATTTCCTGTGCTGGAGAAGTGACTCTGGACATTCAGAGTGATGTGTTGGGTTCCCACAGAGAACAAATTAAATAAACTTCTCCTCAGAGTCAGGCAATATTTAGTGACCCCTGTGCTGTAGAATCACAGAATCATCAGGGTTGGAAAACCTTTAAAATTATCAAGTCCAATTGTCAAACCTCCTCAAGTATGGGTAAATCCACAGATACTGAATCACACTCCTAAAAGGGAATAGATTTACATGGAACATCTCCTTCGAACCGCCTGCCAAGGGCAGGGACACCTTCCCAGGTTGGTCCAAGCCCTGTCCAGCCTGGCTTTGGACACTTCCAGGGATGGAAGAAATTTAATCTGAAAAGAAACCTGGTTTTCATGCATGTTCAGCCCCTGTGAGGAAGGGGTGGATGTTTGAAGACAAAAAAAAAAGAGGGTTAAGAAGGACATTGTTGTTTATCAGAGGAAATCTACCTGCTTAACCCCAGCCAGTGATCAACCTCAGCACCATCAAGTGCTCTTAACAAGTGACTAATGTGCCTGACACATCAAATTACAGCTGTGATTAAGCCCTTCTGATCAATACAATTGATAATGGCTCCTAAACAAAGCTTTCTTTCCAGAATGTACCAAGGCACCGTGTTTATTTCCACTCATTTGATTAGAAAGGATAACAAATCACTCCTTAAGCCTCAAGTGATTCTCCTTTTCCTGAAAAGCTGTGGGAAGTGCAGAAGGCAACACAACCACCTGGCCATAAATTAAATTTCAACACTGCAGATCACAGGGAGCCTCAATTGCTTTCCATCCTCCTGTTCTGGTGGATGGAACTGGGTTAAAATCATGTTTTTCCTCAGAGTTTTACTAGGATTTCTCTTTCCAGCAACACTCAGATGAAACAGTCATCACCTTCATATGATCTCATATCATCACCTTCATGAGATTTCTCTCCAACAAACTCCCCCCTTGCCCCCACCCATCCAAGTTCAAAGTTTGATTTTACAGCTCAGGCACATAAATTGAGTTGTGGAGCCCCACTCCAGAAAAAAACACATTCCTTGACCTACTTGTGCTCTAATGCTGTGAACACTCTGAGAGGGAAATGTCACCATCGTATTTTCTGAAAATTCCCTTTGCCCAGGATTCTTCTCCTGGGAAGCTGAGAAGCCTGAGAGAAAAATGAAACCAATAATTATCTGATTTGCTTCTCCTGTGTTTTGCTGCTTTGGAATGTGGTTTGGAGATTGTTTACCCACAGGTGATTGTGTCATTGGTTTCACGTGAATTGTTTTGACTCAATGGCCAATCAATGCCAAGCTGTGTCACAACTCTGGACAGAGAGTCACGAGTTTTCATTATTATCTTTTAGCCTTCTGTAAGTATCCTTTCTGTATTCTTTAGAATAGTATAGTTTAGTATTCTTTAATATAATATAGATCATAAAATAATAAATGAGCCTTCAAGAACATGGAGTCAGATTCATCATTCCTCAGTTCATCTGGGAACCCCGAGGATACAAGAGGGAAACACATTCTATTCAGGCACTTGGAAATTGTCTGTCCACACAGCACTAACAGAATTCTCCATACACTCATCCACATCACCCATTTCAGAGCCAACAATTCTGCTTTTCCTGTTGCCTCCAGGGCAGTTGTGAGTGTCTGGATAATAAATTCCAGTGTTGAGCTCCTAAATACCTGCTGATATTTTAGGGTAAATGGATGCCAACTGCTTTCCACAAAGGAAAAGACCTTAAAATCATCTCCTTCCACCCCCTTCCATGGAGAGGGACACCTTCCACTATCCTAGGTTGTTCCAAGCCCCATCCAACCTGGCCTTGGACACTTCCAGAGATGAAGAAGCCACAGCTTCTCTAGGAACCTGTGCCAGGCCTCACCACTCTCTCAGGGAAGAATTTCTTTCCAATATCCCATCTAATCCTACTGTCATTCAGCTGGAAGCCATTCCCCATTGTCCTGTCATTCCAGTTCCAGTACTGTCTCCATGGACAAAACCATTTACCTGGGCTTAAATCTACAATTTCTGAATCAGTCCAATTCATCAGTAGTGACTGGTGGAAATGCAGATTTATCCCAGTCCAATATTTCAGCAATCCATCAGGAAAAAACCCTCCAAATTAAATCTACAATTTAAATCTACAAAATCAGTCCAATTCATCAGTAGTGACTGGTGGAAATGCAGATTTATCCCAGTCCAATATTTCAGCATTCCATCAGGAAAAAAACCCTCCAAAGGATTTCTATATACTTGCTTTGGGCATTAATGACTTTCAGAATTGGGAAAAATACTTCCAGTGGTTTAGTTCTGTTGTTACAGGAATGGAAAAAAAAAATAAAAGCTGTTTTGGATTATACTTTCCAATGAGAAAAATCATTTTGGAAAAGCAGAAAAAGTATCATCACTTCAACTATTTATTCTCCTTTTTAATGTATTGTATTTAATTTAATTTCTTTAAATATCCATGAAAACGAAATTAAGCATTTAGCTGGCTTTCAGATGAAGGTTTTTATCCACCCAGAGCTCTCCCTTTACTGGATTCCAGAAGAACATTTCTTCAAAAGGCTCCATTTAAATGCACAAGGACACTTGAAACAGCTTCCAAATCAAAGACAACCATCCCTTAGCAGATAAAAGCAGGGGCCAAAAGCCTTCCTGGCATCCAGAGAAGCTCCTCCTGGGATCAGCTTGTCCCAGGACTCTGCTCCATCAGAGCAGTCCTTCACTCTGTGGCCTGGCTGCAAACATTGCCAGTGGAGAGTTTCCTCTTCCACTTTTCCCTCTTTCGGGAGGAGGGATGAAAATCTCAAGCAGGATTTCAGATTCATCTTCCCAGCCCTTTTCCCAGCAAAATTATCTCTGCTTTTTGGATCCTGACAGTCTCACCTGGGTTCCTACACACAGACACGGGGCTGGTAACTTGAGAGAGGTATTTGGAGGGGGAGAGATCCAACTGGATGTCTTAATTTGGGGTTCTGACAGCTCTGCTGCAGGACAGGGTGGGAGGGGATGGGGCAGCACCAAAACCTTCCTCCTTTCCTGATCATTGAAGCAGGAAGAGGCTTAAGGAGACTGGAGACACTTCCAGGGGGATTTCTCAGTGTGATGAGTGCTCCATGAACAAGGAGAGGATCTCAGCTGCCTGTCCCAACTCCAGAAATCCTTCACAGCCTCTGCTCCACCATGAGGACAGGAGCAATTTGGGCATAGGGAAGGGAGGCCAGCTCAGTCAAAGGAGATGCTCACAATGACTTCCCTTAGCGTGGTCCAAGACTTAGGGGAACTTCAGGCTTTCAGCTCCCAAGGAAAAACTGGAAAAATTCCAGTTCAAGGAGGTGGACAACTGTGGTTAAACCCACTGAAACACCTCAGTCAGGCATTCCCAGCCAGGAGGCTCCAAGGGAACCTGCAGAGCTGCTGGAACTCTTGGTTGGCTTTGGAAACACCCATTTCACTCCCTCCCGAAGAGCAGCTGGAGGAATCCTTGCTCCAGCAGCAGAAGGGCTGGAAACAGCCAGGACAAGGCAGCTGTGAGGCTGAGGGAGGTGGGATTACTGGCCAGGGAGGGACAGAAGTGTTGCCATACCTGAGGTCTGGTTGTCCCAGGTCAGCTCTGCCAGGCACTGGCTGCGCTCCTCCTCGATCTCCTGCATGATGCTGCACTCTGGTCTTGTGCTGGACGCCTGAGGGAGGGCACAGAAGCAGAAAGTGAGCAAAGCCCATGCTCAGGGAGGCATTCCTGGGGATTCATGGCCTCGTGAAGCGAGTTGGAGCTCTCCAGGACCATTGCACAGATGTGCACCCAGCCTTATTCTATATTTGCTCAAGAGGAGGGAGAGCAACCCAGAGCTGCTGAAAAAAATCAGCATTTCCCTCCATTTCCTTAGATAAAAACCCCCACAGCCTATTTTTTTTTTTTTTTTCTGATGATCAGTGTGATAATTCACTTGTGGGGAACTTTGGAAGAATTCAAGACAGGACCTCTGAATTGTTTTTGATGATGCAGTTTATTTCTCTTATCCTCTGCATAGGCAGGAAGGGTGAGTTCAGCTCACATCTTTACTGCATGGTTCAGAAGGTCACAAGACCTCTAGTTACAAGACCTTTTAAGGAGTTATTGACCAATAAAACACTGCCAACAAGGATATTTATGTTTTTGACTCAATCCTTAAATATTTAGTCTTATGGACCCATGCTGCAGTGTGAGCTTTCTTAGCCAATCATGTCATGACACACAAACCTACAGTACTGCATTCTAAACTCCTTGTTTACATCTGTAACTGCTTTTATTTTTTCTATATCTTAAACTCTAAACTTTCCTTTACTCAGCTTAACATGTCTCTGCTTTAAACTCTAAATCCACATTCTCCCTTCTAGCACCTGAGTTTGGGAGCCTTTTCCAAGGTCTCAGATCAAATCCTGGGTTTAATTCTAAGCTGTGGCTTACAGGCCCAAAGTTCTGAGAGTTCTTTGCATTTTGGATTCCAACAGATCAGGAGCAATTCTGCTGATCTATGCTCTGGAAACCCTGCCTGGCTAACCAGCAGCACCAGCTATGTAGGGCAGGGCAGATTTAATATTCATGCCAGGAGCAGTGGGATCTGTGCTTCATGGTTTATTCCCTGGCTCCTGGCTCTCAGGCTAATTCATAGCACAACAAACCCCAAATCAAATAAGAACAGAATCTCTGATGCAGATTAGGAGATCAAGGAGCTAAAAAGCAGGAAATTCCCAGTGACAAGGCTTTTTCCCCTCAAGTGGTTTCTCCCCAGTCAGCCCTAATCAAGTTCTGTTTGCAATACAACAGTGGCCATAAACGTTCAGGTAATTAATTGTGGACTCCTCATAACATGCAATTCATTAACTGCCTCAATCATAAAATGTGGAAATGGTGATTTTTACTCCAAAAAAAAGGAACTCACACATATCTCAGTGTCTCCTTGTCACCAATGTACTCTCAGCTTGGAGGGGACACCTTGACCATTGCTATGGGCAGAAACTGAGGCTGCTCCCAACCCCAGCTCTTTTAAAGGGATTGGAAAGGGCATTCAACAGGGAGAAAGCTTTTCAGAAATCCAGCTTCAAAGAGGTGGAGAGAAGGGAATGATGTCAGGAGAGCCAAGCCTTGGCTTGAGTTCATACTGTCACTGTTAAATGTAATGTGGGAAAAAACATCAGCGGGGTGAACTTCAGGAAGAGACCATGAGGACACAGGAGAAGTGATTGATTCAGTGTCCCCTCTTGAGGGTTTTGGGATAATCACATATTTTCATCAGAAATAGGCAGAGAAAATAAATTAAGAAACCAAAAATAATTTCTTGCCTCGTTTCAAAATGCGTTGAGTTATTGCTCTGTTGATATATTTGCCAGTCAAGGTTTTAAGACAAAAAAAAGTCCAGCAATCCTTTGAAGGAACAATTGCTTGATGTAAATTTGGGTTAAGATTATAAAATAATTTAACACATTAAATTAATCTCACCATTTCCTATTAACCTATCCTGCTCTCTTCCCTGTTTCATGCCATGCCTGGTTCAGATTTTAATTTCCTTTAGGTTGGGAGTGGGCCTTGATTAGTAGTGTATAAACAAATAATTGTGGTTTTCTAGTCAAATTAAAAATAAATAAAAATACAAACACCAGAAGAAGGGGAATCATTTGGAGTCATCTTCATTCTCAAATATTTCTTTTCCCCAAAGGGAAACAGATCTTTGGAAATTTCATCTTGGCTCATCTGACATACCATAGAGTTATTTTGTTTTGATTTACAGTTGTTCTTGCCATTTTATTTCAACCTTAAAAAAGCACAAGGGGAAGCGTGAGAGATTTGCAGAACACTTGCTGGAAAAATAAAGATTGAAATGTTTTCAAAACATTCTGACTTTTTCAAGGGGAAGTTTTAACTCTCTGGACTTAAACGTTTGCCAAATTCATCTCACATCTATAAATACCTTTGGTTTTCACTTTATAAATTAATTCATACTACTCTAACTTTGATCAGGGCTGGCAAAGCACTCTGGAGTTCTACAACAGATCTAAATTTTTTTTTAGGCAGTAGATTTTACACCAAGCCCATTAGCAAGTATTTCACTGCCACTTCTTCCCTTCCCCAAAATCTCATGCCTGAGTTGGATAATTGTATATTCACCTCAGTGGTCCAATATTTACTTCTGAGTAAGTGGTTTTATCACCTTTAAAAACCAATGAGGCTCTGTTTTGAAAAGTGGGCTTGTGACAGGCTCAGGTAAACTTGATTATATGTAGAATCTTAAGTTTTTTTCCCATACAATCCAAAAGAAAATATATCTATGTTAGGCAAAACTCTGAAAAAAGAGTGTCCAGTAGCTAAATACCAAAATACAGAAGATCTTGGATTTGTGGTGCTGGTGCTGACTTCTTGTGAGCTTTTAGGGAAGGCGGGTGCTCACAACAACCCCAAGAAAAACTGCACTTTTGTGGCAGGCATATACTCTGGAAAAATCCCTTCACCCAGGATTCTTCTCCTGGAAAGCTAAGAAGCCTCAGAGAAAAAGGAAAACAATTTTATCTCATTTGCTTCTCCTGTGTTTTGCTGCTTTGGAATGTGGTTTGGACATTGTTTCATTGGTTTTGTGTGAATTGTTTTTGACTTATTGGCTAATTGGGGCCAAGCTGTGTCGGACTCTGGAGAGAGTCACGAGTTTTTCGTTAGTATTTTTTATTCTTCTGTCTGTATCCTTTCTGTATTCTCTAGTATAGTTTAGTATAGTATTCTTTAATTTAATATATATCATAAAATAATAAATTAGCCTTCTAAGAACATGGAGTGAGATTCATAATTCCTTCCTTCATCTGGGAACCCCGAAAATACAATACACTTTGAGAGCAGAGGGGCTGGAAAAAGCCCTGGGGGTGCTGGTGGCAGCAGCTGAAGATGAGCCCAGGTGGGCAGGAAGGGCAGTGGCACTTGGACTGGATCAGGAATTGGGTGTCCAGGACCAGAGTGAGGATTGTCCTCTGTGCTGGGCACTGGTGAGGCCACAACTCCAACCCTGGGGTCAGTTTTGGGCTCCTCATGGCAAGAAGGACACTGAGGGGCTGGAGTGTGTCCAGAGATGGGAATGGAGCTGGGAAGGCTCTGGAGCACCAGGAGAGGCTGAGGGAGCTCAGCCTGGAGAAAAGGAGGCTCAGGGGGGACCTTGTGGCTCTGCACAGCTCCTGACAGGAGGGGACAGCCAGGTGTGGCTCTGCTCCCAAGTAACAAGTGACAGGACAAGGGGGAAGAACCTCAATTAGCACCAGGGGATGTTTAGTTTGGATATTAGGGAAAATTTCTGCACTGAAAGGGTTAACCTCAGCACAGGCTGCCCAGGGCAGTGGTTGAGTCACCATCCTCTGGAGATACCTAAAAGCCCTGTAGATGTGGCCCTTGGGGACATGAGCTAGTGGTGGCCTTGGAAGTGCTAGGCTAATGACTCCTCTTGATGATCTTGGAGATCTTTCCCAGCCTTAATGATTTTATGATCCCATAAAGAAAGAGTGGGATGTATCTCAGCTCCTCTGTCAGTGGGACACATCATCCTCAATTTCAGCTGAGTCAGAGCTCTGTGTTTAGTCTGACCTGATTTTTTTACCATTCTTCCAAGTCCACAGAGAGCAAGCAAACACCAGCTCTGAAGGCTTTCATCCCACTCCCCTGCCTGTGGTTGGATGGCTTCAAACTTAAACACCCAGCACTCAGCTGGAAAAGGTCAGTGATGCGTGAATTTAATGTCCACAGACCTTTCACTCAATCAAAGTCAACAAACAGATTCACACTGGAGGACTTGGAGTTTATGGCTCATTTTGCACTTTAACTAAAGAAGTAAATAAATAACTCTATCACTCGTTGTTCCTCCTTCAGCCTCCTCAGTGATGACAGCAATAACCATGACATGTCACAGCAGTCACTGATACAGGCTGACAAAGGCAGATGGAATAAAAATAACCCAAAAAGATCACAGTTTTGGGCATCATTAGGAAACAAGATGTGGGATTTTTTGCTGGGGGGTCATCAGGGAACAAGTTCAGCTGCCTTAATTCCCCCCCAAGTGACAAAATGCTCATGTGGTTGGAAAGAGCCCTGAAGAGCTGTCAGTCCTGCCTGGCAAAGGGGACATTCCCTGGAGGAGGGGCTAAATAATTCTCTTTCTTTGGTCTATTCCTCCTGGAAAAGTTGAATTAGACTTTATAGACAGCTTTGTACAAACTCACTTTACTAATTCTCCATTTCTAGGCTGTTTTTTACTATGTTGTGTTGTTCTGTTTGGGTTTTTTGGTATGGAAAAGGCAGAGTTTTTGGGCTTCAGCCTGCCTCCTTCACTGCAGTGGGCAACTGACCACACAGACAAAGGGCTGGGAGCACATGAGTTCACTTTTCCCATCCAAAAAGTAAATATAAAGCAAAAAAGCACAACAAGCTCTGGTTGCTCATGTTGACGTCAGAGGGTGAGCTGTAATCCAGTTTCTTGGGAATGTCCATTATGGGTGAAGCTGAAATGTGGTAACCACCCCCTCAAATCCCTCCTGGCATGCCCCAAACACCCTGTAAGGTGTGGTGGGTCTGTCAGGGGTTTTCCCACTCTGATCCCTGAGCAGCAGGATGAAGGGAACATTTTTCTGGATGTGATTTCTTGCAGCCCTGAGCTCTGCAGCAACTCTCACAAAA